GCTTAATATACAGGCGAAAAGTAGTCCCACGTGTCACTGGGCACAGCCAGACAGCTCAGCGTGTTGCTTCTACACTGGAGGTCTCATGATCACAGCAATGGGCACAGATTCTTTAACAGGTCTGCTGAAGCTACACACACACTCACCCCTTTTCTTTATCTCACGAGTCTCGTCGAGAGCAACCTGTACGGGCTGCCAGACAGCAACATTCCTACCTGAATGAAATCTGATCTCATGTGTTTAAAAAAGAAAAAAGAAAAAGCTGATTGAAATTCGTGTTTATTATGCATGAGTCATCAGTCCGATCTTCAGGATCACATTTGTTCCGAGTCTCTGTGTTGGTTGAGGATAAGCAGCTAATGATGCTTGTATGTTGTTCAGATTTAGATTAGTGAATGTAAAAGCATGAAAGCATTGTGCAGAAACACACACTTACTGGGTGCTTCCACTATTCTCTCAGCTTTTGCAGATGCTTCTCAGCCAAAAATAAACCCTTGATGTTTAACACCTTGGTGACCACAACCTCTTAGAGCTACAACTGACGAAGAAGCCAGCTGGTGTCTTGAAAAAGAAAACACTATCCCTCTCTGTTACACTCAACCTCTCTCAATCTGGCTCCCTTGTATCACTGTCGAGGACTAGTGGGAATAAAAAAAATGAAGGAATGAATTATCAGTTTATTAATTTAAATGAAAAGTTAAATAAAAAAATTTAAAAAACACAATTTAACAAATAAATACACATATTTAAAATAATAAATAGAAAAAATGTATTCAATGTGTAAAATTTAGTTAATGGTAAAAAATTTTATCAAACCAGAAATTCAGTGTTTAAATTCAATGTCAAACCAGAAATTCAATGTAAATACAGGGTTCGTACGGTCATGAAAAACCTGGAAAAGTCATGGAATTTTAAAACACCAATTTCCAGGCCTGGAAAAGTTTTGGAAAAATAAATAAACCCAGAAAGTTTTAGAAAAGTCATTGAAATCTATTTCACAAAACTCTGTATTATGAATAGAATTGTGTTTAATCGAGTCCTGAATTTCGGTGCGGGATTGCGCATAGGCTATATCGCATAGTTTTACTCATTCCCGCAGCTTTTGACTTTAAAATGTTGGATATTCACACATTTATTCAATAGCCTATAGCATGTAGGTTTGATGAGTAAATAATCAAACCTACAGACTGAGTCCAGTCCACACAGACTGATCAAATCAGTCATTTGAAAACAGCGTGAGTGATTCAGCTGTACGCGTCTTCTCTCTTTGACTTTTCTCTTCAAACGGCTTCACATCGGCGCATCTTGTCTGCGCTACAAGAAACGCTGCACGCTGCGATACAAGACTTTCACTCGCGTTTCGGGACAGTTGACAGAATAGTCACTTGCCTAATCGGGTAATTGTTGCATCATCAGAAATTTTTATTATTTATTTGCACGTCTTTTTAAGCCATTCGGTACTTGCGTGCTCCAGAGGCGGTGCGCAGTCACATCCAAAGTGCGCTCGTGCGTATATGAGTATTGAGTTTGCTACCAAATAAGCTCAGCAGAACCCTGCACGGGCCTCAAACATATGCCCTAGTCCGGCCCTTATCCGACAGATTATCAGAATTACTGGCCCATGTCTTTTTTCTCTTTCTCTCTTCCCCAATTACACAGGTGCTGTTGTAGCCATTAAAATAGTTTAGTTTCGTTTTTAATTGCAAAAGTGGTTATATATATTTTCGTTTCTTTATTACGTTAATTTAGAAATATGTTTGGAAAATGTTTTTGTTTGTTAAATTCAAGTTTTTGTTTTGTTAAAGTAACGACCAAGCGGCCAGTGGCAGACAGTGAGTTAATCATAGCCTATGTTTGATCAATTTAGCCTTCTCAAATCATCACCACTTGACTAAAATAAAATCTATAGGCCTATATAAAATGCTTAAAAAAACAATGTTAGTTTAAATGGTTAACCTAGATAAATGTGTGCTATTAGGAGCTTGCCAGTACCAAATTGAGTTTGCTACCAAATAAGCTTAGCAGAACCCTGCACGGGCCTCAAACATATGCCCTAGTCCGGCCCTTATCCGACAGATTATCAGAATTACTGGCCGAGTCCGACTCCCGTGTCTTTTTTTTTTCTCTTTCTCTCTTCCCCAATTACACAGCTGATGTTGTAGCCATTAAAATAATTCAGTTTCGTTTTTAATGGCAAAAGTGGTTATATATATTTTCGTTTCTTTATTACGTTAATTTAGACATATGTTTGGAAAATGTTTTTGTTTGTTAAAATCAAGTTTTCTTTTCTTTTTTTTTAAGTAACGACCAAGCGGCCAGTGGCAGACAGTGAGTTAATCATAGCCTATGTTTGATCAATTTAGCCTTCTCAAATCATCACCACTTGACTAAAATAAAATCTATAGGCCTATATAAAATGCTTAAAAAAAACAATGTTAGTTTAAATGGTTAACCTAGATAAATGTGTGCTATTAGGAGCGTATCCAATCGTTTGTGCAGAGAAGCTAAAGCGCACTTTGCAGGACATGGAGTCGCCAGCACGATCACTTGCATTTTTTTTCTTATAACGGTGGAAACAACCGTCATTTTTGCTCATAAAGGTAAGAGTAAAACATCATTCAGGACTGTTAAGGGTCTACTTTTATTTGTGTGCACTCACAATATCAGCATACGTTGTGCTTTTTTAGAAAACAAACAGGATACGCTTTCTGCTGTCTCGGTCTTGAGCAGGAGCGCTTCACAAAAATGAACCGATCAAAAATGAACACCTGATTCAGATCATCATGTTAAAGCGCAGCTTTGCGTGCGCTTTAACATGGAACTCTTCCAGCACTCGCTGCTGCTGGACACTAAACACCGTCTGAGCCACTCTTGACAGTCGCGGTAGCACGGTCTCGTGTTGTTTCCACCAGCGCGGCAAATCTTTGTCATCACCATAATAATTGATGGATATCTAAAATATAAACATAAGGAGGAAGCAAGCCTGATGCCTGGCCCGTGTCTAAGCTATGACGTGAAAATTGTCCCGAAGCCATACATAAGTTGGGGCCGTTGGGCTCGGGCTGAAATGCAGGGCTCTAAAGCTTGTTGCATTTAAGCGGCAAAAATACACACAAAATGACACCAAAATGGCCATCCTGGCCACACAGTTAAATAAATGATAATATTCAGTGATGTGAAATGTGGAGTAAGGTCTGGCGCAGTTGCAGCTTGTACTTATTACTAAAACAAGAAAGCAAACGAGTAGCATTAATAGTCATTCATTTTAGTTAACGTATGCTATGATAATTTGAACAGATTTTTATTCTTATTGTAAAATAATGGAACATTTAGGTCATGAATATTGTCTCAAAAGTCATGGAAAAGTCATGGAAATGTATTGGTAAAAATGTGTACAAACCCTGTAAATAGCTTTTTTTATTTTTTATTTTATTTTACTTAAAACGTTTTACTCCTATTTTAATTTTATAGTAGAAAAAATCAAGTCTTTGGAATGTAGGAACAAATCAATGAATTTTAAATATTATTTAGTTTTTAAGGGTGTATTTAAAATAGTTTATCATTTTATTGTTACATTTAACAAAAATGTTAGACTTTGTTCACTCAAAAAATTTAATTCTGTCATTATTTACTCACCCTCATGTTATTCCAAACCTGTTTGACCTTCTTTATTCTGTGGAGCATAAAAGAAGATATTTTGAAAAATGTATCTGTGTATTTTTGTTTTTCTGTACATACAGTGGAAGTCGATGGTAATTTTTAATCTTCCGCAGAAGAAATAAAATGTGTTTGAAATGGCATAAGCGTGAGTAAAAATTGTGAAATATATATATATATAAATTATAAAATTTTGAAAACGATTCTTCAACCTGACAAATCCTGACATTGTGGAGCCAATTAATTGTATACCACAAAAGGTATACAAATCATTGGCTCCACAACGTCAGATTTTTGGAGATAAATCTCTGTATAATTATAGTCATTCAGTTCATGCAACTTGAGACTCTTGCGTCTAAAAGCCACAATGAACGATAATCTGACAGAGAGCGGCTTCCACACCTCTCCCGGGAGCCCTGCAGTCTGCAGGTCCTGCAGCAGATGTTTAAAGGTGACCACTTGAAATTGACAGCTCTGTTTCCCAGTAGAGCCCAGAATCATCAGTTGATACAGGCACCCTTGAGACAAGCACTCAACTGGTTAACTCTCACACGAGTCACGGGACACATCACAGTTTCAACAGACCGTAAACATGTTTGCCTTCATGAGCCGGTCTGGGCAGCGTGAATGTACGCTTTGAGTCACAGTGCAGCCTACACAACAGCTGACACATGACACACACACGATAGCATCAGAGCATCGGTAACTCATTCAATTAAAACACAAACCATGACAAAGTCTGCTTGAGAACTGCGTTTTGGATGCATGTTGTGTTCAAGCCGAGATGGCAGACTGTGTGTGAGTCTTTGAGAGCATCGGGTCTCCGTCACGGACTTGGTGTGGTGGTGAGCATGTATTGTCTTGCTCAGCGAGGGTCTGACTGTTGCTCTCTGGGCCAGCAATATGAGAAGTGACAGCCTGACAACCATAGCTAATGATGGGAGTGTCGTATTGAGTTGCCCTGATGTCCTGTGTGCATCAGTCGGAGAGCTGTGGGTCAGACCCACGGATTAGGTTTTTGCCATCCGATCTTCGGAGCTGAACCTCTTAATAATTATTGATGGTCAAAGAATAAAGGCCAAGTGAGAATCTCGAATCTGCTCTTTTTGTGGGTTGAAAGGTCATTTTGGTGCATTCTCCCACTTGTATCTGTCCTTAACTTGAGGTTAATTGTCATTTTGATTTGAATGGGTCTGTCTTATTTGACCCTCATTTAACTTCATTCAACTTTTTCCCCTAAAGTATTTTCTATAAATTGTGAATTTTATTGCTTGTCTTTACTTTTGTAAATTGCTTACAGTCAGTATCAAAGCTGTTGAATTTGCCTTAACAGTCTCTATTAGCATCGAGAGTAAACATGAAGTCACAATCCTGAGTGGACTCAATGAATTTGTAGTGAAGTTTTATGGACCACAAGGAAGTAAGTCTTTTTTAACTTATTTACGCACATGTTGAATTGAACCTCATGAAAACATTACAGGTCTCATTTCACCTTCCCCCACCCCCATTTCTCTTTACTGTAATGCAAAAATAACATTCTATAGTAATAAATTAAATAAAATATTTTTTTTAATAATATAAAAATGTATATATAATATAGTAATTTGACTTGGGGGAATTATTTAATACATAATAGAATTACTATGAAAAAATATAAACGTGTCATAATATTTACAAATAAATGTAATTGTCATAATTGTAATGATGCAAAAATATGAATGTCATATTTTTTATTTCTTACAAAAATCAAAGGAAAGTACAATACTAATTGATTTTCTTTTTCATTAAAAAAATTAAGCACATACCCCCCCCTTTACTGTAAAGCAATAAAAAACATTCTATATGAATAAATTAAACGAATAAATAAATGTGTGTACGTACGTGTATGTATAATAAAAAATTAGAACAAAATAAAAAAATCAAATTTTTGTCATGACTACTTCATGAATTACTACAATTATGACAATTGTATTTATTTGTAAATACTACAGTCAAATTATTTATGACTCATATTGTAGTAATCACTTTTTTTTTTAAATTTCTTACAAAAATCAAAGGCAACTACTATCCTAATTGATTTTCTTTTTGATTACAGTAATTTCTTTCTTCTTTCTAAATGGGCTGAAGTAAGACATGTCATGACATGTTTCGTGACATTCACAGTCTCATTAGATTTCTTTACCTAGCTATCACATGAAGCAATCATGACACACTTGCATATTTAAACATGCACATCTTACACAACTCTTGGTATGGGACATGACATCATTGTTTACAGCTTGCGACCCTTTTTAATTATCATATCATCTGCTTTTACGATTAACGATCTTTCGTCTCTCCGCTTTGAGAGGTCGGAGCAGGTCTTATCTGTGGCTGGGCTTTACCTTTCGTAGTTTGAGCTACTGGCCAGAAGGGTCAGATTGCACAGGGCTATTCTTGGAGCGAGCACACGTTGCACCATACCCCATATCGCATGAGGCTGGCAGCACAGCTTCCCGTCCACATGTGTACACACCCACATGTGTGTCATTCCACATATAATTCATAATCATCTAATGAAGTATTACGGTTACTCCCACACACTGTCACTTCTGAATACAAAGACTTCTACGCTTAGTCATTTAGAGTTTGCATTATACGATTATCGCTTGTCTTTTCATAGTCTCTTGTTACATGCTAGAGCAGATGTGAATTGTTTCTTGAATAGTCATGTCTCTTTCTGTTTTTCCTGTCAGCACCATATGAAGGGGGCGTATGGAAGGTGCGAGTAGATCTTCCAGACAAATACCCCTTCAAATCTCCCTCTATAGGTAAAGTATTACTATACATTTATCCAAAAGTGGCAGCTGGGTGCCCTTTAAAAGTCACACACGTTGGTGTGGTTGTGAAATGATGGGTAGAGTACGTTCATACTTGAGGCGTGAAAGGTGAAAAAAGCACATGACTTTACTGTGATGTCATATTTAATGGTCTGTAAAGATAGTGTGGTTGGAGAAAGGTTAGGAATAGCCTGTTGTGCACTCAAATGCTGTCATTTGTGTCTAAGACCATTAAGATGTTTGACATTTGACACAACTTTCATAACAATTAAGCACTTTCCCTTCCTCCCGAATTCTCATTAATGCAATGCAAAGAAAAACATTAATAAATGAAGTTCATTAACCTATGCAACTGAATGTTTTATTTATATCTTTGATCACACTCCATCTTTCTTCTTCGATCTCTCTACAGGATTTATGAATAAGATTTTTCATCCGAACATCGATGAAGCGTAAGTCTCTTTTAGTCTAAATTAGATTTTTAATTTGCCTTTTGGTGTGCTCTGAGGAAAACATTTGACTTTTTAATATGTATTTTACTCACACTCATGTCATTCTAAAAACTTCTCAACATTTGTTTTACTTCTGTGGAACATAAAAAGAGATGTTTTGAAGAATGTTCATGCTGCTCTTTCCCATATGTTAAAAAACATAGTTACCAGAGGCTTTCAAACAATTTATGCAGTCTTTCAAAGTCATAAATTAGTTTTGTGTGTGTGTGTGTGTGTGTTTTTAATCCACCGTTAGTTTTCAGATCACATATTTTAACTCTACACACCGTGAAACATTTGGCATCAACGATGGCAGTCTATTTTTTTCCTTTTGTTTTCAGCTGTATTTTTTATACAGTAGTCAACATTTGAAGTGGGTCAAAACCTTTCATCAAAGTTGTCCTAAAACCAAAATTCGTTCTTGTCTAAGGACAACTTTGCTGAACTTTTTTGATCCACTTCAAATGTTGACTACTGTATAGTATCATAATATTATCAATGTTTCTAATTAGCATTATTTTTATATTTTTAGTAATTTTTTTTAGTTGACGTTTCACTCGTTTTATTATGCGTTTTTATACATTTCTATATATATTTAATTTGTTTTCTTTCAGTGCTTAAATTTAAACCTGTATAGCCAAGCTAACATTTTCATGTACAGTTTTCATCTAATATTTATGTTTTATTCCAGCTTTTTTTTAATTACAGAAAAATGCATATTTTTATCAGTTTTAGTTAACAGTCACAACACTAATTGTCAGCAAAAAGTTGTGTGTGTGATATCTATTATTTTAATGTCTATTGGCACAGACATACGACAAAGCAAAGAAAAATGCTGTTTAGAAAAGATTGCATACCCTCAAAATTTAACTGCTAACACTATTCTGCAATGGAAAAGTGGAAGTAAAACAATGTGATGGTGTGTCATAGGAGTAGAACAAGGCAGAATGTTCATATTGCCTACCCTCTAATGCCAAGACTATTATTCTTTGTCCAGGTCAGGGACCGTGTGTTTAGATGTGATCAACCAGACATGGACCGCTCTTTATGGTACGTATATGTGAGCATGGTCACTGTGCATGTGTTTGCTTTCATGAACATTGATAATAAATGCTCATAACTTGCACTAGGGATGTAACGATTCACTCAATTCACGATTCGATTCATGATTTTGATTTCTCGATTCGATTCACGATTTTTTTAACAAAATGAGATTTAAGACAAATTATAAATTAAATGTGTCCTTTTATTATTGCTTGGACAAAATGCTGCACATTTCTTTGTGAAATTTAAATTTAACACTATAATAATATACTAATATAGCACTTGCGTATCATTGCTCTTTTTTTGGTTTTGATTGCTTCTATTGTCCTCATTTGTATTTAAGATGCTTTATACAGAGGCAAGATAAAAAGAGAAAATACCATCTCAACGTTTCTAAAGACAGCAAGTTCCCCTCAGACATACATTCATATAAACTCCTACCCCTAATTGAATCGCGATTTGTTTAGCATCTCAACCGATTTGAATCGTCACATATTTCAATCGATTTTCAACCGGCTCGCGGTTAATCGTTACATCCCTAACATGCACTGATGCTGCCTGAGGAGTAGAATAAAGTCTCCGGCCCCTTAGACAGGATCGCTGTGCACTGTAATCCTCTTAGCCTCTCTGAATGAGCTAATACCTGCAAGGTCAGAAAACAGCATCAGCTCCCCTAAACAACCACACTTAAGCGGCCTCATCCTGCCAGTTATCGTTCACAATACCGCTGTCTGTCTTTGTAGATGTCTGTCTGTTTTTTGTCTTTATAATAATACAATAATTACAATTTTACTATATAGTTACTTTCTCTTTTATGCAGTAGTGTAATTGAGTTTGTTTGCTGCCTAGATTTGATGATGATATTTGGAAATACTTGATTCTGATTGGTTTGTGTTTTGTGTTTGAATAGTTGTATATAAATGTATTGGTTGTTAATACATTTGTAAGTTGTTTAAATTCTTTTAAGTTGGTGAAATCAAAATTAGATGTTCATATGGATTTAGGTTTTGTAACACGCTTGTCCGAATACAGATATTATCCGAAGGATCCCATTTGGTAAGATCAGCCTTGGAACGACTTGTGGTTTTAGGAGTAACAGGGTGAGTGTTCGCCGTGACGGTGTGGAAACGGGCAGATGTCTTCTGTATAAAGAGCTTTTGAATTTCAACATCTGCAGATATCATCAGTGGCATGTTGGTACCATGAAGAACCAGATTTAGTTTGTGTGTGTGTGTGTTTTTGCAGTATTCTCACAAATCTCGCATTCTGAATGCACTTGCAGATTCATTCATCGTCCAAAATGTAAATGAAACGGGGTTGTGTAGAGAAAAACGGACATCGACCCCGACGGAATGGCATAAGGGGACGTGTTTCAGTTCGGCTCGTGTGATTTGATCAAGAGCTGCCTATGTTTTTTGTTTTTTCCCCGTGGAGTGGCTTTTTACGTTCTCAACTTCTCTTTTCTTATTAAATTGATGTTTTATGGGCTAAACATTTGATGTTGTTACAGCCCGAGTCAAGAATCGGCCAAATTGTGCAATGGAAAAAAAGAAAAGCGTCTCAGTTTTGAGTCTAAATCTGTTCATATTTTCAAGAAAAAGAAGAAAAACACCTCGTATGTGCAGTATTGTATTAAGAAGAGGTTATCTTACAAGGAGAGAGACTGCATACTTTTAGAGGCGGCTTTGTTTCACATCTTTCAGACATTTATGGAAGAAAATGCTTCTCGGCTGCTGTTTGGTTGCTATGGTAAACATTTTGCCATGCCTAGCAACACGCGCCCCCGACAAACAAGACAAACTCAGCTTCTCCATTTCATTTCTGCTTCATTTTTGATCCCTGGACTTTAATATGAGAGACAAAATATGGACAATTAGTTTGAATTTATAAATTTTTCCTTTTGTTTTTAACTCGTGTCAGAGTAAAATGACTAAAGAGTCTGAGAATCTCAAATAAACATGTATAAGTGTGCTTCCATTATAATTAGAAATTCTACTTTTTTTGTGAGAATTTATTTACTACTTTTTGGATTCCTGTTTTTCCCCCCCATGTCAATAACAGAGATGCCCATCTGGAGCAGGTAATACATGCTAAAAAAATGTGTTTGGGATTGAAGGGAGTTATTTTATTTTATTTTTTTATTTTTTTTAGTGGGTGGGGTGAAATAAATTATTACAGTGTGTCCTTTGTGTTTTGCACCCATAAGCCCCCAGTGCTTACACACGCGCACATCCAGGGGACAGCAGTTATTAATGTTGTGGTCTCCAGCTGTTTGTTTGTCTGAGAGAGAGGAAGAAGAGATCTGTCTTCCGGCTGCGGCTGTGGCCTCAGAGGCTCCCCCTGCTGGCCCTCTCAGCCAATGGCATCGCGTCTCTTGCATTTGTGTTGAACTCTCCAGTGCACTTTGCATGCGTCTGGTGTAGAGTCCAGTCTAGTTCGGTCCTGGCTGTCCACTCCTTTAGTCCCTATACCTGTGCTTCAAGAGGGTGCTCAGACATGGGGCTTATGTGGGCACACAGCATGTTTTTTTTAAAAATAGTATCTGTATCTAGTACCTAGTGTGTGATACGCTGATTTAAAAAAAAAGAAAGAAAAATACTTTTTTTATCCCAGGTATTATGGTAATTTGCCCCTTTTATTTCCTTATCCATTAATCTTACACTCTATTTTTGCCATTCTTTTTTTTTTCTTTTGCATTGTGAAGTGGGCATGCCTGTCACAAAGGACAAATGCTCTTTATCTATAGGATTATAATCTCATAAATAGCTGTGTACAGTAAACTGTAATAACTTCTTTTTTTAATAAAATATTAAATATGTGTAAACTGCTTTGGATCTTTGGTTTCTGTGAAAAATTGGTCAGTCTTTTTATTCGGAACATTTTAGTGGCTAAATAAGTAAATAAATGTGTTTCTGTAATTTCGAATTAAGATACATATTTTGATGAATTCAGAGATGATTCGCTTTACTGGACCTGAAAAAAAAAACATTCGTCTGGAGTGCATGATCTCAAAATATGTATTGGTATATATCTTCCAAATAACTAATTATATGAATTGAATTCAAAAGTAAATATTATAGCTTGACCTTAAAATTCACCAAAAAAAAAAAAAAAAAAATCTGTTTTCATTTACTCGCGTTCCAAACCTGTATGAGTTTTTCTTCTGTTGAACACCAAAGAAGATATTATGAAGAATGTTGGTAACCAAACAGTTGCCGGTAGCCATTGACTTCCAAAGTATTTAATGAATATTAAATAAGTATGTTGCTTTGTCATGTTCACGTCCTTGTTTGGTTGCTAAATAAAATGCAATAAAATGTATTATTATTAAGAAATAATACTTGAATATTTGACAGTCTTCAATTGTATTTGCTCTACTCTGGTAGAAACCCTGTACTGTTCTTTAATGATCAAAGACAGTTGCTCATGACGCCATCTTCCAGAAAGTGACATGATATTTAGTGCGAAAATAACAGCACAAACCTCAGTTAAGTATTATAAATCAGTTTGATGAATGATATTATGTTTGCGTTATTAGCTGGTCTATTTCACTTGACGTTTTACCCAATACAGAAATAAGCATGATCATATAGTCTTTTAAAAATATGATATCTTTACAAACTATCCTAACCTATTTAAATATAGCCATGGGGTTGACTAGAGCATATTTCCTCTATATTCTTTAATAAAAAAATACTTCAATTACCACACATTTAAAATAAATAAATAAATACAAAGCTCAAATGATACTGCAGGAATTACCCAAATGATATTCCCATATGCTATACTTGAATGTATGTTAAAAACATTCAAAAATATTCTGAATGCCAGCCACAATTCCAATTCGATGAGTGGGTAAATTGGAAAGCCTCAAGAGCTACTTAACGCAATACAAACATTCCCACAGACAGCCTTATCATTTATTTGCATGTTGTTGTTGTTACTCTGTACCACCACTAGATGACAGTCATGTTATCAAAGTGGCCAAGAGGAGAATATTATACATTGAAGTCAAATAAATATTTTTAAATGATTCCAAGTCCACCAAAAAAGCCTCTTCATTTGATTCCAAAAATAGACTTTATAGATTACAGCATAAAGACAACACAGTAATAATTCAGGCCATATCAATGTATAAAGTGGGCCTATGAATTGCTATATCTAATGATATTATATTATATTTGATATTTATTATAAAATTTCCAATTTTATGTGCAGAATTCAACATTGACCACCAGGTGTCCCTCAAGCTACGCAAGTAGAATCGTAATCCAACTGTAGTACCATTAGTGGCCTGCAGAGGATGTCACTGGTTTTACAAGAGAGGAAACAATTTAGTAACATAAGGCAAATTCATCTTTTCAACCAAAATGTCTCTGTCACGCAGCACTCTGTCCTCTCTTGTTCTCTCATGCTTTAGAAAGAGATGGAATTAAATGAATACAAACTGTAGCTCTACTTCATCACCCTCCCACATTTTCATTCCCATTTCTATTTCTCTGTTTTACTCCACTGTAACTCTTCCACCAGTCTTTCCCCCATTAACATTTCCACTGAGTCAGAACCTGTCCGTAAACACTCAAGGAGAAGGAGACATCGAGCTCCGACAGAAACGGGACAGCGCGTATACCGCTTCTTTCCAAAGCCCTGCATGACCTCCAGTGCTGCTGGAGAAACATGAGCTCCTCAATGAAATATTTAAAGGCCTTTATCTGCAGTGCGATGGTCAAGAGGGCTACAGGCCTACATGACGTAATGCCCAGCCCCAGACGGCCGCCGTGATTGGCTGGAATCAGAGTTTGCCGTCACGTGACCAGTCCCAGCGGTTCACCGAACTCACGAGAGAAGCTTGATACTCTTTTATATCCGTTAATGTATCCATCATTTTCCCTTAAAACAATTTCGGATTACAGAGCTTAGAGGTAATGTGTTGCTATTTGTTATCACAAGAAAGAAAAACGCAATTATGGAACGATATACAAAAAGGGGTTCAAAGTGCTGCAAAATGAAGGGCTTCTTTAAAAGGACTCCAGCTTTGTTATGATTCCTCAGTTGATATCCATTGCATTAATGAACGCTCCCTGCACTTTTGAACTCTCATCAGTAAATGAGTTGCCAGATAATCATGAACCCAAGAATCATATGTCCTACGAAGCATCATATAGAACACGAATCGATGGCTGATATGACCGCGTTATTGTACGATCAAGTATAACAATATAAGTGTAAGAAACAACTAAGATCAGAAGCTGAACTACTGCCTTATTTATTCATTTTCTTTTTCATGTCAGAGTGCGTTTTGTGTGAAATGGCATCCTGATGCTGACATGCGAGACGAAGGATCTTGACCGCAATGAGCGTCTCTCGTGTCGAGGACTCGGTTACTACACCAGCCCAGCTCCGTTATTAATGGATGACCGTCTGATTAAAAACGCCTCAGACAAAGACACAAATGGCAGATGCTCTGACTCACCGTCTCCATGGCTACTGATTATGCCAACTTGGTCAAAATGAATGTTGCCGATGGTAAGGTGATGACATGCAGAACGACATCTTATATTAGTAGCCTATTAGTTGAATAGATCAGTATTTTGTAATATGCTAAATACCTGCATAATTGTATTAATCCAATTACTATCGAATTGCATAAGCATTTTTATACTAAGCTATCTTCTGAAATGTTTCTTGCCATTTAGAGCTGAAGCAAACAATATCAGATCAATATTAATTATATTACATCCCCATGCAGTCTATTAACAGCGTCTCAATATATTTTCAAACCATCATTCCCTCTTGTATGATAAAAATGAGCTTTTTGACAGTCTGCAATGAAGATTCTTCTTCCTGTGTCTTTGCAGCTTGTTTTAAAGCTTTTAAGTGATGCTGTGAAATATTCTTCAGAAATGAAACTGTAATGCATGCATTTATTTGTTTACAATGACAGAAATGGCTCTATAAAACAATTTTTGTCTCCAAAAAAGTGTTAATATTGTCTTCAGTTGATCTTTTATCTCTTTCTGTATTTTAAATGTGTATATGCTCAAAACAATGATATCATTGTAATATTTATAATTTATGGAGCATATTGAATTAAATTTCTGTCTCATCAGGATTCATTTTTTGTGATCATTTAAGAAGTATTAAAGATTGAATCTGTATAGTGCATTGCAGGCAGTAATTTTACTGCAACTGAATAATATCATATATCTCTTTGTGAAAGTAGTTAAGACCTGCATAGTAATACAATTTTTAAAAAATGTAAACATGAATAAAAAATTTATATAAATAGAAAAGAATTACAAATATGTAGTCTTGTTAATATCATAAACTGATAAAATAGATAATGTAAAAGATTTATATTATTATATAATATGTTATATTATTATAAATTATATAATTCAAATGAGAGTACTTTATTAATTTAAAATATTTTTCAAAAATTATTAAAAAAATTATTTAATCAATAAATACATTTTCTCAAATAAAATTTTTTTTTCCATGAAAAAAATTGCTTCCACAATAAAGGCTTGAACTTTAACACATTCCTTTGTTTTAATTGTAATGCTGACCTTAAAATGCACTAAGAACTCAAAAAGGCAAATAATTAGCTTTACAACTAAAACATATTTTAGAGTCTATATATTAATAATTCCAATTACAAATTCTTATCATAATTCCGGATATCATATCATAAAACCTAAACCACAAACAGTGACTTAACTGTTGGTGACACATTGCCTCAGCATGTGTTCATAAGTTTATTATTCTTATAAGTGTATAATGTTTAATCTGTAATATAACAGGTGGGGTTCGTGCAGTGGATGGGAGTTTGTCAATACATCAAATGCTCCGTTGGTCATCTGTAAACTATTCCAGCACGCTCTTTGTTCCGCGGCCCGTATCATGTATCATTCGATGAGGGGCATCAGTCGTGCCAGAAGAGTGGCCCGGTTACACCTGACACCCATCCTGGCAGGTGGGGAGGGCTCTAAACATCATATGGACCGACAGGTAGCTGCAACGAAATGACTATTTTAAAAATTCAAGAGCTTCACTCAGCTTCCCTCATACAGGTGATCCGCAGCTCGTGTTTCGACTTTTCCAGAAGTTAATCAGGTGAACGAAGAGTGGACGGGTGAGGGGACGACTCAACCAGGGCTGACCGGTCAACAAAGAGCCCTTGGGATAGATTTCACTCTGGCTATTCGGTTTGAATAGATGTAACCAGAGCCGCCAGACTAACACCACTGGCATAATTTAAAAATATAGAGCCGTTTTTTTCCACTGAGGTGTCAGTATAGGCTTCAACTATCAACAGCAGGTAAGTGGACTCGGGGGTTGAGGGTAACGCGGATGGGTATATATACGAAGAGCGACCCAATGGAGGACAGCATTGCTTCCAGACTCTGTAGAAGCACTTGGAGTGTGATGCACCGACTGCACTGCGGCTGCTCTAAAGAGGTCCTGATGCTTTCCAGGATGGAGGGACGTCTGCATGGGGTAACCATTTATACCAGTTTAACTTCAGATCATTTTATTTTTAGACTGCTAAAATGTTGTCACAGATCTGTGAATAACTGACATTGGGGCATATGGTAGGCCTAAACCTATTATTAATAATAATAGACTGAAGTGATAGATTCGAAATTGACAGAATTAAAAAGACTTAAAATATATAACAGCATACAGTCCTATTTAAGGTTATTTTTTAACTATACAAGCAACTTGCTAAGCACAAAGATGGATTCTGGCTGCTAACTGAGGAGGACCGTTATGTAAAAGGATGCTGTAGCTGGTAGGGCCTGCAGGCATAGAGCAGATGAAATGGTGCGTTTGAATGCTTGTTCATTACAGGCCATCTGGATGATGTCATCTGATCCCAAAACCCAAGACCTGCGGGACACACACAGGGAGAAAATCCTAGACCAAGGCAATGCATTATCACATATTGATAGGCTTTGCTGAATATAGGCTGCTTTCTTTCTCGTTTCTTTCTCTTTTTTTAATGAGCATAGAAATATTGCTTTTGGGAAAAAGGCTAAACTGGTTTTAAGATGGTCAAGTCTGCCTCCTGGCCTGGTCTAGCTGGTCCTAAGCTGGTTTAGTTTCCAGATGGATCAACTGAACTGAAAGGTGCACAAAACCTCATTAAAACCAGTCGACAATCCTCTTTGATTAGACCAGCTCAGAATTTAGACCAGCAATCCAATTTAATCTGGTTCAAGTTGCTTTTCCCCTTCAGCTGAGTTCTTTCATTCCCCCTTTTGCTCTCTCTCTGTCTCTCTCTCTCTCTCTAGGGAACGTGTATGTTGTAACTGGTCACCTTTATGCTGTTTTAAACACTTTTTTGCCTTCACTAATTCGTTTATTTGTAGTTTTTTTATTTGATGGTTTTAAAAGTACAAATAATTCAAAATAAACTCTGTAAAATAAAATAAAAACACTGTACTGTCATAGCTGTAAAATAATAAGTAGCCTAATTATTGTAGTTTACAATGGTTTTTAGATGGAGCAGCCTGCAGCATGTCAGACCGCAGAGCATGTCAGCTTCCCAAAAGTGTTTCATGTCATTAAGCCATCTACACCTTTTCCTGGGTCCCGCCAAAATGTAACAAAATGTAGCTTAATTCTCCCAATTTTCTTTTAGATTTTTCAGTTTGCCCTGCGTCGTTTCCATATGCTTAAAGAGATTTCTTTAGTAAGTACATGTCGTTATTCTAGTAACTGCATGTGGAAAAAAGTCGAAGTAATTCACAATCAACCTCAAGAAGCCCGAGTTATTTATATTAATAACTTACATTTATTATGCAACGATGTTATGCTATAAAAAACGAAAACAATGACGCTGACAACGATTCTGGTACGATGCCAAACATTAAGCCCACAAACAATTACCTAATTACATTTCACAATTTATTATAATATTTTATTATTGTATTTGCAGTGTAACTTGCAAGTGCATTTTTGATATTTTCAGTTGGTCACGCCTCACCATAAAAATATAAATGCATGAATTAAATACATAAAAAAAATTAATGTAGCATATTTAGGCTACATAAGTATTTCAAATTAAAAGAAGTGTATTCATATTTTCTACTAAAGAAAATCGTTTTATATTTTCAGGTAAACAATCCAAGAGATATCTACAACGATTATTTTGTTTACAATCACCTTGAGAGCACAAGTCGCCCCGGGCGTTGTCCTTTTGGGGGAGACTGAACTGCTCTGGCCAAATCTTTCCTAAAATAACTAAAGTTCGAGGAGATGCTCGCTAATTAGACAAATGCGATTAACCGGGAGCTTTGAGGCCGAGGTTAACAAGAGGTGACCAACGCACCCACACGCAACTAACTTATTAATGATGATAAAAATGATGAGACTTAAATTTTCCAAAAACTTTGATAACTCTGGATCTGTTTGACGCAAAAACAACCGGCCGTGAATATGACGCAGTGCAGGCATAATGCCATGTAGGGTTCAAAGACACTGCATTAGGTTACTTTGAACGAAAAATAAAAATGGTTATAATTTTATCAGGCTCAAATGAACTAGTCTTTTAGTTATTGTGGATTGACCTGATTTAGAAAACAAAACCACATAATACTTAATGAGTCTGGATTAAAAAAAATAATAATAATAATGATCTGCATTGTTACAGTATAAATATGTGCATTATTCATTTATTCTATTTCTATAAACCTTGCCCATTTTCTTTAGTTACAGAACGGAAATAAACATATATGGATGATTTGTTAAAATAGATCTTTTGAAAATTCTATATGGTTTTGCCCTTGGCACCATATGGTTTCACGCATTTGTATTGTAGGTGTATTGTATTTGTATTCCCGATTTGGGAAATTGTGAAGGTGATGCCATTTAGTTTTGAGCACTTTCGTTTTTAATGATGCCTTGTGCCAAGACAGCCAGCAAAAATAGACCATTAAGTCATCATGATGTTATCATATGAGAATTTTTTCTTTCATTATGCAGGGGTGGGGGCGGAACAGAACCAGCCAGACCAATCTGACTATGCTGGCTTCTCAACTTGGCTTTTTAGAGGTATTGATTATTCCAGGAAATTGCAAGAGGAGTCCTGCTCCGGGAGCCATTTGGGCGTCTGAAAAATCACTTAGAACATCATTTTTGATCTGGAATCAATCTGGCCTCCATCTCCTGCAGAAGCAGAGGGAGCAGGAGCTAATGGCTGTTCCTGGGTCCTCCTGGGTGGGGCTGCAGGCTTCGTCTATTGGGGAGGAGGGTGCTCTAGGTCTGGTGGCTTCTTCTATAGCAGATGGCGTGTAACCAGAAGATCTGCAAGACCAGCAAGCTCTCTTGGGTGCTGTGTGTTTGATAATGTGGGGTTTTTTGCTTAAGGCTAGTGAACCCAGGATCATGGCGTCTCTCGTGTCACTTTAGACAGTGGTTATGATGATGTTCAGAATGATGTTGACGGATCTCTGCAGGCTTTTATTGCTTAGGAATTGTCTGCTGTGTTTTGAAAGACATAAATGTTTTTGTGATGTTACCCCATCATACTTGAAAGTGACGTGACATGTGGCAAAGTATGGTGACCCATACTCGGAATTAGTGCTCTGCATTTATCCCATCCAAAGTGCACACACACCCGGAGCAGTGGGCAGCCATTTATGCTGCGGCACCCGGGGAGCAGTTGGGGGTTCGGTGCCTTGCTCAAGGGCACCTCAGTCGTGGTATTGAAGGTGGGAGAGAGCGCTGTACATTCACTCCCCCCACCTACAATCCCTGCCGGTACGAGACTCGAACCCGCAACCTTTTGGTTTACGAGTCTGACTCTCTAACCATTAGACCACAACTTCCCCACACTTAGGCATGCATGTCACAGTAAAGGGATCATACTTTTGGTGTAAATCCAGAACTTTGTTTGATAATCTCTGAAGATTATCTAAAGACAATTTCATCCGAGGAAGAGACTCTTCATTCTTAAGGAGATGCAAGTCCTTCCTCAGTAGAGTATTATGAGTATAAATGATCTATCTATCTATCTATCTATCTATCTATCTATGTGGAAAATCACTAGTGTGTCCTTCATAATCTCAATGATAATCCAAGAAATAGCTCTGAAAAGTTTGAAGGCTTTGAAATGCCTTCAAAAATTGAATTTTTTGTGTTCATTCTCCATAACTGAAATAAATTAGAAGAGCCTTTTTGAAGGCACCTCAAACAGTAGAGCTTGGTGATAGAAAAGCCAAGGTTGCCAAGGTCATGGGTTTGATTCCCAGGAAATGTGTGAACTGAAATACAGTATCTTATCTTGAAATACAGTGCAATTTTTAGACAAAAAGCATCTGCCAAATGTTCTAACTAGTCTTTGCCTCCACTGATTTAACTTTTTCATTATTACACCATGTTATTCTGTACTGCATTCTTGGCTTGCTGTCTCTCTGAATCTCCTATGATGCACTTTTACGTTCCTTTCTCACTCTCTGTCTCTCTCTTTCTTTCCCTTTAGGAAGAAGGGTTCTTCTCAACCTCCTTAACCCAATCTCCCCCCACTTCCCCTCGTATACCCCCTCCCCGCTGCTCTGTCGTTCTTTCATTGGTGTTGCTGGAGGCTGCAGGTTTCTTAAAGGGATGAAGCTGACAGACTCCTGTTCTGTGTATGGCACTGGTAGAATTCACTGTGAAAGCACACTATCAGTGAATTACCAAAGGGCCATAAACAGAGCAGAGAAAGAACCACATATCCGGTTTGCTTCTCTGTGGGTATGGATTCAAAACTCTCGGATGCGCTCTTGTCCCTCTTCTTTGCCTGTTTTGGCACTAGCACATTTTTGCTTTTTTATATATACGTTGAGCAATTATGTGTAGTGCCAATATGGGACAAGACAGAAATGCTGCTAAAAGTCATATGATCACAAAGGACAGACAGCAGACCATTGGCGTGATTGATCCTCTCTTAGGCAGTCATGTTCTATTTTCAGTCCTTCTGCCCAGTGTAACATAAGAAGCGACCTTTGCTGTGGAAAGCCAAAAGTTCAATAATCTCGTATCTTCATGAAGACATTTTCCTTTCGGTCACTGCAGCTGAACCCCAAAAGAAGTAGTTGCGATGGCTTTTGCAGAGAGATGATTTGCACAGATGCATTATGACACTAAAATGGTTTGTCGACATCAGACGCCATGAACGGTCATTACTGGAGGACATACATTCAGATATTCATCTCCTCTTGGAAGCAACT